AAAGAACAGAAGTTTAAAGTGCTTCCAAACGAGGATCTCGTTTCTTCTGCGTTGACAGAGCAGGAGTCCCGGGGTGGGCCACGGGGAGAGGCTGACACCAAAGGCTGAATCACCACCAACAGTTCTTTTCCCAGCTGGATTCGGAGCCCAGGCTCCAGCCCCAGCTCCCCATCCTCGACACAGACCACACCACGCTCGAGCAGCCAAACACTTCCGTGGCGTGAGAAACTTATTTCTCAACCTTTTTTATTTTCTTTTTTTTTTGCAGGCTCATCAGACCCCAGCAGGAGGGAGATTCACTGCTCTGATCACCCTCCGATCAGCCCCCCCATCCACTCGGGCGAGGAACGTCTCTGCTGTCACAAAACTCCTCACGTCGCGTTTCCTCCCTCTTTCTCTCTTCCCCCGCAACATAAAAAGCTTATTTTGCAGTTTTAACGAGACCCCCCCCCACACTGGCACCGGTTGATAAAAGGAACTAAGCTCAGGGGAACTCTTTCGGGAAAGCAGAAGAATGCTTAATATAAAGTTTTCCGAAGCTAAAGGGAGATAAAAAAATCTAAAAAAAACAATAAAAATCTTCATTTACATATCCAGCACTCGTTAAAACACCCCCACGGTCCCTGCAGGACCAGATCAGTGTCCTTATCTGCTGCCAGGTGAAACCCTCAGGCAGATACGTTTTAATGCAAAGGAATTTCGTTCTCTGGTAATTAACAGGTGATTAATGGAAAGATAAACTCGTCGGGGAAAACGGGCAATTTACGGTCCAAACTTTTCAGTCCTTTACCCGGCACACACACGTTCCCATTAATTTAATTCGGGTTTCATTAGCGGTCGGATTTATGAAGTCAATTTAGTACCCAGGCGCAGAAGGGCGGACCGCGGCAAGCGAAGACACATGGGCCTGCCAGCAGAGAGACAAACGTAACTCGATTTCAGACGCCAAAACGCATTAAGTCGAAAATACAGGATTTCCGCGTAACTCCGGCACCGAATGTACCCCTCGGAACGAGCCGTGAAAACGAGAAGCACACACGGCTAATCTGTGCCTCAGGTACGGAACCAGGCGGCTCTGCAGCTTTCCTTCCCAGAGCGGGTGAGGGTAACAAGGTTATCCTTTCACCCCGAGAAACGCCCGAATCGCAGAAAAGAGGAAAAAAAACCACAATTCACCGGGAGAAAGAACGCACGGGCTCTGCCTGCTTTATTGCTGGTTTTTTTTGGGGGGGAAAAGTCGCAGAAATCAGCGAGTTTCCGCCCCAGAAGTCGTGTTCCCCAAGCTCGCACCCCTTCCCGGTGTTATTTTTTATTTTTATTTTTTATTATTTTTTTTTTTAAGGAATCAAAGACTCCCCCACCTCTGCGTTTTGAAGCAAAAAAAAAATATTAACGTCGGTGTGATGGGTTCGGATTTACCGCAACCACACGTGGGACGGAGCCCGTGTGAAGGACGGGACGGGGGGGGTAACACACAGAATTCTGCTCGACCCATTCGGCCAAACACTGGGAAATCACGCTCCTTTTTTATTTTTTTTTTATCCCTTTGAGGGCTGTTGCTCAGTTAAAGCAGCAGAAGCACAGGCACAGGTTGTAGCAGCTGGACTTAAAACCCGCCGGAATCCTCAGCGTTGATAAGAAAGCCACAAGGAGATAAACATCCCGGGGGATATTTAGGTTGGGGTTTTTTTTTTCGAAACCACATAATTTTTAATTTCTACCACCGAATCGAGATAAAACCCGGGAGACTCCCAAACTGCCATTTCGAGGCGTGGAAGAAAAAGGAGATAAAAGCCGGGCCTGTGCCGTCCCTTCACGGAAAGAACAAAGTCGCCGCAGAAAACAGGCTGAGCCGCGCCAAGGTGAAACTCCTCCCACGGGGGGGGGTATTTCTGCAAACACAAACAGGCCTTTATCGGGGCGATTCATCCTTGAAAGCGCACTTGGAGGGAACACTTCAAGGAAGACTGCTTGCCATCTGCCTCGAAGACTTCCAGAGCACGCTTCCAAAACCTCACTGGCCTGGCGCGGGGGGGGGGGGGCGATGTGCCGATTTTTAGGGCTGGCGCTTCCCGGCTTTAAATGAACCAAACTGTTAAGAGCAATTCGCTTCTGACAGGGAGCCTAAACTGCGTTTATTTGTGAGGAGACTTCACGTGCTGCAAACGGAGAACCAGAAGGGCTCCTCCACTCGAGCACAGCAACACCCACTTGGCAGAGCTCTCGGCACTTTATTAAATTCAGTGCCCTCTCACACAGAAACGGGGTAACAGTCACAAAACGCCGTGTGCAAGTCTGAAGTAGATGTTGTTCGAAAGCTCTCAGGAGGCAGGATGGCTGAAACTGCTCTGCAGAGCACAAACCTTCCTGGAGGGGCGTGTGAAAGCCAAACGGTGATCCAGAGCTGCGCTCCAGGGAATCTCCAGGGAAAGCTCCCGGGCCGTGAAGCCATCTGGGGAGGCCAGGTGTCCAAAACCACCCCTCACGAATATATTCCAGCTCCAGATGCCTGAGCATCCTTCTTCCCTTGCTTTACAGCAGCAGCACTGACTGCACCCGGCGCTCTGAACCGATCTCCCTGCGCTCCGGGGGAAGAGAATTTGCTCACCAGGCCCCCAACAGTTATTTTTAAGCGCTGTCCAACACCACCCCGGCTCTGTGCCTTCACTCAGGGCTGGCCAGCGCCGCTGTTCTTCCCTTCTTCATGGGAATCTCTACGGTCATGAAGTCCTCAGCCAGCGTCACCTCCTGTCCCCCCAGCACGGACTCCGCCTGCCTCCTCAGCTCGGCCACCTCCGCGTCCCCCTCCCCTGCCTGGCCGGCCGGCCTGTACCTCTGGCTGAAGTGGGTCAAAACCAGCCTCCTGGCCCGGCACAGCCTGGCAAAACCCGCCGCCATCCCCGGGGTGCTGTGCCCGTGCTCCCTGGCCTTCTCCTGCTGGCTGTCGTCCAGCGTGGCCTCGTGCACCAGCACGTCGGCGTCGCGGCACAGCCGCGCGGCCTCGTCCCCCGGCGCCCCCGAGCAGTCCCCCAGGATGCACACCTTCCTGCCGGGAACGGGCTCTTCCAGCACCTCCCAGGGACAGATCCTCGCTCCGCTTTCCAGCACGACTGCGGCCCCGCCCTTCAGCTTCCCGTACAGAGGGCCCGGCTGAACCCCTGCAGACAGAAAGGCAAGAGAGAGCCCCTGAGTAAAAATAATAATAATAATAATGATAATAATAATAATAATAATAATAAGTAATCACACTCGCTGCACTGTAAGTATACGGCGTGTCAGGTTTAAACAAAGATCACTTTGAATGTGCCACATGTGGAGCTGGCTCGCTGAAAACAAACACGGCGTCAGTATATAAGAAAACAACTCATATTTCACGTTTTTCGTGCAAATAAAGAGCCCGTCACACTAGCGGGGAAGCTTGCTTGAAGAAAACCACAGAAACATGGCCTGGTTTGAGTCAGAAGGGATTTTAAGGGTCATGGGCAGGGACACCTTCCACTATCCCAGGTTGCTCCAAGCCCTGGCCTTGGACACTTCCAGGGATGCAGGGGCAGCCACAGCTTCTCTGGGCAACTATAAAAAAAAAAAAAGCTATATTTTTCTCACTAAAGCCAACAAAGCCATGCAAATACACTGGCCATGCATTTTCCTGAAAGCCACGTGGAGCTTTTTAAAACTTCGTCCCCTGACCTTGCTTGCTCTTCCCATTGTGAAAACGGGAAATTAACGCAGCACTAATTGGCATTGGTGTCACACGCCCATTCAGAACCCTGCGAGGCTACGGAGCATTGCAATGCCTGCAGTGGAAAACTGAATTAAAAGAGATTGTGGAGACGGGGGGCAGCAGCTCCTGGCTGCTGCTAGAACCCCCTAGGAAGGGGTGGTCACAAAAAGATTTCGGCTGCCAGGAAACCCGGCCGCGTTACGCTGGCCGAAAACCAAGAGTTTCACCGCTTGAACACAAGAAGTTGGGGGTTAAAAACAAACAAACAAACAAACAAACAAACAAACAAAAACATTAAAAAAAAAAAAAACAAAAAGAGGAAGGATAAGTCGAAGTAGTTACCAAGGTCTTTCAGTTTCTGCACGTTGAGCCTCCCAGGCCGGGGCTTCTCCTCCAGCACGAAGCCGAAGGAAGGGACGCGGTGAAAGAGGCGGAACGCCCTCAGCACCAGCTGCTCGTCCTCCTCCAGCAAGTAGGAGCCCTCTCCCGGGTCCAGGCGCAGTACTCTCCCTCCAGGGCCCTGGGGGGGAACCTCACCCCCGTCCAAGTGCGAGAAGTCCCTGAACTCCTCCTCGGGGCACTGGTCCCGCGTGGGCACCAGCTCGTGGACGGCGTAGGGAAAGAGGAGCTGGGAGTGGGACAGCTCCAGGCTCCGCCACAGGAAGCTCCTCAGCCCTAAGGGCCCGTAAATATCCACGGGTGGCTTGTTTGGGTCGGGGCTGCTCTGCAGGCTGAGCGTGCACAGCAGGCCGGGGAGCCCGAAAAAGTGGTCGCCGTGGAGGTGGGTTATGAAAATCTTGGTGATTCTGCCTGTTGGGTTGGAACAGCAGGAAGAGATAAAACAAAAAAAAAGGGGAAAAAAAGAAGGTAAACAAACAAGGTTCAACGACTCAGAAGTAATCACCGCTCGGGCAAGGGGGTTTCGATTGAATTTTAAAGTTAATTTGATTTTAAAAATTAAAACAAAACCGGCGCTTGAGAAACAAAACCCCAAACCAGAGGGGTAACACCCGGGCTTTGCTCTGTGTCCAAGCTGCCTCACTCCAGCCCCCAGGTGCTGGGCCCTGCCCCCTTTGCTGGGTTAAAAAAGCCCAGAATTTTCTCTTGTTCTTTAATCAGGGCTGCCTCAGCCTGCCCTGCTGAGTTCCCACCTCCACAGGGCAAGACACCTCCCCCAGCATCCGTCGGAACTAAAGCGAGAGGAAGGGCAGGAGGACCTCCTTCTTTCGGTTCAGCAAAATTAAATTTAGCAAAATCTAGTAAAAAAAAAAACCAGCAAACTTAGTAAAAATTAGTCCATCCACCTGGCACTAAACTCCCTTGGTGTTTTGGAGGAGCCAAACAGGATTTCTGCCTGCGACTTGACGATTCACCT